GGGAGCAGGCACGTCCTGGCTCTAAGGAGCCACCAGTTAATTCCTCTTTGAAATGACTTGATGTCCTTCAGCTGACATTTTGCAGTGCCTAGGATGAGCTGGGCACTTGCTAATTCCCATATCAGGTCTGCAATTGAAATATCTCACAACCCTGAAAAGCATAGACTAGTGACCCCACCTAATGGTCAAGGAGACTAGTGCTCAAGAAGCTCCTGTGACTCTCCAGCTTCTCCCCATTAGCCAGCACAGGGCTGGGATGTTTGTGCTGTTTGGCTGCAAAGCCCTAACCCCCTCTGCTTCTGACATGTTCTGTCTCCCACGACACTTTCCCTGCCAGCTTGCTGCAGTCTTTCGGAAGGGATGAAGCCCCAGAAAGGGTCAGGTCTTGAGGGCAGCTTGGTGTGAAGTTCCTCCATTGGGCTCTGGGGGGGTGCCTTTCCTCTGTCTCTTAAAACACAGGGCCCGTTTTAGCCACTCCCAATCAGAAACGGGGTCTAATGCAGCTGCAGTGACGTCACTTCAGGCCCTAAGGAGGCTCTTCTCCCTTCCTCGGTCAGAGAAGATGGTGCATCTCCCAGGTCACCACTGGAGGCTCCCGCCCAGTGCCCTGATAGAAAAAAAGCTTTGAAATCACAGAGACGCCTTTCCCATTATTCTTTATCACATTGCCCTATTGTTTTCCCATCTATAATTATTGTAGATATTAATTTACTTGTTTGTTTTTTATTGTCTGCACACCCAAGGAAGCTATGTGAGGGTAGGGACCTTGTTTCTCCATTTTTTTTTTTTTTTTGGATTTCCATCATCTAGTATGATAGCTAGCCCACAGGAAGTGATAAATAGACTTTGAGTGAATGAATGAATCAAATGACAAACAGCTGTCTTCAATCCTGGCTTTACCATTTAAAACCTTTGTGACTTCCAGCCAGTTATTTACTTTTCCTTATCCACAAAATGGACTCACAATGGTGGTTTCATAGGACTGTCGAGATATTTAGAGACAGCATACAGTGCTGCTCAAGACAGGTACCTCCCACATCCCCCTCCTTGATATAGCTGCTAATTAGCACCTTGATTTGGTTGGGGGGCAGGATTTTACTGAGGTCTTCTCCAGCCCTGGGAAGCATGCATTACGCCAGAACCTGCCAGCGGGACCACCTCACGGATCCCGCCTGGGCTGCTGCAGAAGCGGTGGCCAGCTCCAATTAGAAAGCCCTTCCAAGGAGCTGAAGGTTTTGAGGTTAACCCTGAAGAAACAGCTCCCTTTACAAGAGCCTTTTAATGAAGTGCTTGCATTTACTTTCCAGAGTTCATTGAATCATTTTACCCGCATTGTGTTTGACAAAGCCTCGTTGCTTCATATAATGGAAAAGTACAGGATGAAGAGGCTTCACAGAAGCTGTCAGATGGGTGACCCAGGCACCGCTACCTCTGTGCCCTGAGATGGGGACCTGGCATTTGGGAGGAGGGGTTCGGTGGAGCATTGCCTGGTCTCTCCCTTTGGCTTGGTTCTTGAGCTTGCAGAACCCCCAGTGCTGAGAAGGGTCTGAGTCCACCCAAATGCAAAGAAGCGAGTCCTGTGGAATTTTGGCGCACGGGTGGTGTGGGACTGCGTCGTGTGCAGCATGGCCCTGCCCTCGCAGAGACAGGATCATGCAGAAAACATTATTGGAATACTTTGATGTTGAGCCGGGCTTTAATGGTTGTAAAACAAGAGCTACCGTTTGTTCTGTGTTTACTATATCCAGGGTCCTTTGAGTATGTTTTTCATTTGGTCCTGCTGACTGAGATTAGCCACCAGGACCATTCCACTCTGTCCACAGTGATTTTTCTGCGTGGGGGCCAGATTTGGCCTCTGGGGACCAGCTCCTGGTTGGGACACAGCATTTCAGTCTCCATTGGTGACTTCTTTCCCTTCCCTGCTGAAAACAAAATGAAAGGTTGCGCCAATGCTTAGCACACAGTAAGTCCTTGTCTGTCTTTCCTTGTCCCCTTCCTCCGCCATCATTGCAGCGTAGTGAGGTCGCCTTTGAGGTGAGCCCCCATCCCACACAGGACAGTCACCCCCTGACCCCGGCTGAAAAGCCAGACTCAACACCATTTTCAGACCTTCGTCAGCACTCGAGCACAGGGCTTGAGCCGGGCCTCTTCCACCTTGGCATCCTGGGTTTGGGAGGCCGCCTAGTGATGGGGGACCCCTGGCTTGGCTGGTCTCTGGAGCTGTGGCAGCCTCGTGGGGTGGGCCTGGCAGGCTGGGTTTTCACAGTTCTCCAGGTGATCCTGACGCCGGTCAAGTGTAAGAACCACCGAGCCAGGTTCTCAAACTTGCCTGCATGTCAGTATTGCCTGGCACTGTGCTGGGGTTTTTAAAAACGTATTAGTACTTAATATTGAAATGTAGTCTTTAAAATAAAACTCACTTTTTAAACTGTTTTTGATTTATAGAGAAATTTGGAAGATAATATAGAGAGTTCGTACATAACCACACCTGGCTTCCCCTATTACTAATATCTTGTATGAGTCTGGGGCATTTGTTACCATTGATGAACCAGTATTGACACGTTATTGTTGGTGAAAGTCCACACATCAGTCAGGGTTCCGTAGTCTTCATCTGCTGCCTGCTCCAGAGTCCTCTCCAGGGTCCCACATTACGGCGAGTCCTCATGTCTCCTTCGGTCCCTCTGGGCTGTGACAGTTTCTCGGACTTTCCTGGTTTTCGATGATCTTCACAGTTTTGAAGTGGACTGATTAGGTATTTTGTAGAATGTCCCTCAATTTGGATTTGTTTGACGTGGCTCCCATGATGTGTTTTTCAAGATCTTAGTTATGTATTTTTAGAGAGGGAGGGAGGGAGGGAGGGAGGAAGAGCGGGACAGAAACATTGATCAGTTGCCTCTTGGATGCACCCCAACTGGGGACTGAACCTGTAACCTAGGCACGTGCCCTGACCGGGAATCAAACTGGCAACCTTTCACTTTGCGGGATCACACCCAACCAACTGAGCCGCACCGGCCAGGGCACATGTGTGTGTTTGAGAGGAAGACCCCAGGGGTGGAGTGCCGTTCTCCTCACATCATAATCAAGAGTGCATGCCATCACCATGCCTTATTCCTGTTCATGTTGACCTTGGCCACCTGGCTGAGGGAGCTTTGGCTTCTCCATCTGCCCCAGTCAGGGTTGTCCACTGTTAGTTGCCCCCTGCCCCCAACCTCCTATACTGTACCGGTTACTCTGTGAAGCCCACACTTGGAGAGTGGGGAGTTATGCTCTGCCTTCTTGAAGGCAGAGTGTCTGCATAAAGTATTTGGAATTCTTGTGCATGGGAGAATTGTCTCTTCTCTCCCATTTATTCATTTGTTCCATCATTTATTTATGTCACTACGGACTCGTGGATCTTGATTTTATACTTTGAGTTATAGTGCGATACTACTTTATTTTGTTGCTCAAATTGTTTTACTGTTGGCCATTAGGAGCTCTTTCAGTTGGCTCTTGTGTCCTTTTAGCATACCCCCATCATTGAAGGCAGTTGAAACAGTTTTTAGTGCTTCCTTCCTTTCAGCCACTACAGGCCTGTCTGATAGGTTTCCTACCTCAGTCCTAGAATCAGCCAGTTCCCCAGGGAGCCCAGGTGCCTTTTATTGGGAGGGTATCAGAGACTGAGGTCTGGGCCCTGGGAGTGCTTGCTGCCATTGGCATGTCATTGATTCTGGACCCTTTCTACCGACAGAGCGAGAAGACACGTGTCTGTATTAACCTGTGTACATACACTAATCTATAAATACCTCTGTGTGTAATCATCTGTAACTGTATTAAGCTAAACATGAACTCAAATTGATGTCTTCAACTCTAATCATTATCACATGATTTATTTTAGCCTCCTTTCCTTGCTTATCTGTGAAATCTCACTCCAACAGTGAGAAACCTCATTCCTACGATCTGCCATCTACTTAACTGTTCAGTTCCAGCGTACGTGTGTCGTGGTGTCAAACGTTTTAACTCCTACCTGCCTCCGTGGGAACCAGCTCCGTCATCTGGAGTGCAGTGCTTCTGTGCAGGTTGCCTTGCCTGCAGTGCTACAGGCTCCCCTCATTCCTGACGTTCTCTAGGTCAGCATTCCCCCTTCCCCTTCAGTGAGGTGGCTTCATACATTCGTAATCAAGTTAGATTCTTTTATCACACGCTGCATTCCACCCTGGGAATCTCCCCATTTCTTCATTTTTTAAAATTTGCATGCTCTAAGGTACACTGTCTGTGCTATAAGTTCTTTGGGACTCAATAAATGCGTCATGTCTCGTATTCATCATCAAAGTGTCACACAGAATGGTTTCACTGCCCTAAAAAAATCCTGCATTTCACTTATCCACCCTCTTCTTGTTCCACCTGAACCTGCTGTAACCATGGCACTTTTTATTGTTTCTATACTTTTACCTTTTCTGAAATGTTATGTAATTGGAACCATGCAATGCATGGCCTTTTCAGACTAGCTTCTTTCACTTAGCAATACGCTTTTAAGATTCATTCATGTATTTTGGTGGTTGGATAACTAATTTCTTTTTGTTGCTGAATAATATTCTATTATATGAATGGATCACAATTTATTCATCCATTTGCCTAGTAAAGGACATATTGGTTGCTTCCAGTATTTGGTGACTATGAGTAAAGTTTCTGGTGTTTTGTTTGTTTTGTTTTGTGGCCGTAAGTTTTCAAAGCAGTGGTTCCCTTTGCTGGAGACCAAAGGAGCAGAAGCTGGGTGCTCCCAGGTGGACCTGGGGGAAGGGGAATCAAGGGTCCCGTGGGGTCCTTCTCAGAGAGCCCTCTCTGTCCTCTTCTGAATTTATAGATGTAGTAACTAAGACCTGGGCTCTTTCCCACGCAGAACAGAGGACACACGAGGGGTGTCGGCTACATCTGCCCCCTCCAGTGAACATCTGAACTTGCCCTGATCTCTCACAGAATTGTTCCTGTCTTGGTTTCTCACTTGGTTTATCTGCTTTTGGAAGGCTCTGCTCTGACCAACGGGGGATTAAACATGCACAGCCCAGTGAAGAGGAAGCTGGAAACGGAGAAGGACTACGTCTTTGACAAGAGGCTCAGGTACAGCGTCCGCCAGAATGAAAGCAACTGTCGGTTTCGGGACATTGTCGTGCGGAAGGAAGAGGGGTTCACACATATCCTGCTGTCCAGTCAGACCTCAGACAACAACGCGCTGACCCCCGAGGTGAGGGGGCAGGACCGGAGGGGAGGGGCAGGCTGGGGAGGGCCTGTCATTCATCAGATGGAGGTGCTGGCTTCCCTTTGCTTCTTCAGGGAGCCAGCGTGCACACACACTTGGCTACAGGACACAGTTTGCTCATCACTTTACTTGCACTATCCATTTGATCTTTATGACTAGGTAACTGTATCATCATCCCACTTTATAGAGGAAGACCCTGGTAAATGGGGAGATTCAGTCAACGGGTCAGGACTTAGTCAGGAGAGGCCCCAGCGTCCAAACATCATATCTTGGGCTTTCAAGCTAGGCTGCATTATAATAAGCAAGTCTAATTTCTTGGCTTTAGATGGAATTATATTCACTCAGCTCACATACTTTTTTTGAGATATAATCAACATATATAATTCACATACCATAAATTTCACCCTTTTAAAAAGTACAATTTGGCGATTTTTAAGTATATTTACAGAGTTGTACAAGAGTCACCACTAGTTCCAGAACATTTCCATCACCCCAAACGGAAACCTGTACCCGTTGGCAGTCACTCCCATCCTCCCCTCTCCCCAGCCCCTGGCGGCCCCTTGCCCACTTCCTGTCCCTATGGATTTGCCTCTTCTGGGCATTTCATGTAACTGGAATCACACAGCATGTGGCCTTCTGTGGCCAGCTTCTTTCACTCAGCACGGTGGTTTTGAGGTTCATCCGTGTTGTGGCTTGTGCCTCTCCATTGTACGGATGGGTTATACCTCGTGAATTAGCTCCTCAGCGGATGGAGCTGTGGGCCAGTTCCGCTTTGACTGCTGTGAACAGCAGTGCTGTGAACATTTGTGTACAAGTGTTTTTTATGAACATACATTTTTAGTTTCTGGGATCTCCCCCTAATTGTGGGACTGCTGGGTCATAAGGTAACTCTGCATTTAACTTTTAGAGGAACTGCCAAACTGTTTTTCACAGGCACTGACCGTTTTACATCCAGACCAGCAGTGCGTGAGGTTCTGATCTCTCCGCCTCCTCGCTAACTGTCCATAATGTGTCTTCTTTGTTCCAGCCGAGCCAGTGGACGTGAAGTGGGATCACGCTGGGGTCTTGATTTGCATTGTCCTGATGACTAATGATGCTGGGCATCTTTTCACATATTTATCCATCATTTGTCCGTCTTCCGTCTCTGAAGAAACGTCTATTCCAATCCTTTTCCTATTTTTAAAATTGGGGTGTTTTCTACTTACTGAGTTTTTACTATTCTTTATATATTCTGGATACTTACCCTTATCAGATATATAATTTGAAACTACTCCCACCCATTCTGTGGGTTGTCCTTTTACTCTCTAGATAGTGTCCTTGGAGGTACAAGCTTTAAAATTTTGATGAAGTCCAGTTTATTTTTTTCCACATCACTTGTTGAATGCCAGTCACTGGTGTCTTTCTTAGGTGAATAGACCAGGGAAACAATGACCACCTAATGCAGTTAGGTAGACAGTATCATTCAAAACGTGGGACACTTAGGCGGAGCAAAGAAGAACATTTTCTGAGAGGTTCTCGACGGCGCGGGAAACATTCATCCCAGCAGTCAGTCCTCCCCGACTCAGAGGACCTAGGGCAGGGCATCGCCGTGGCAGATGACAGAAATGGCAGCCGCACCAGCTGGCAGCGGCTCTTGGGGCCTTGTATCTGCTACTTACCCCATTTCACCCCCCCCCACCCCGTAGCCTCTGATGTAGGATTATTGGGATCCACGTCTTCACGGATGAGGAGGTGGGTTTGGAGAAGCTGACAGGCCCGGGCTCACACAGCCCAGCTTCGGGAGGTCGCGGCGGTTGCTGCTCTGCCCACCACTTTATTTCCTGCACTCGGCCCGGCATCTGGTCCACTGGATACAGTTAACCCCAACCCCACACCTTTTCTTGTCCCTGTGGTACCCCGCACTCTGATTTCCATCGTAGCAACGACGATCTGGAGGGTTAACACTGAGGTGTGTTGGGAGGACACCGTCAAGGGTGTAGCGGTGGCTGTCCACCCAGACTGGGATTGCTGGGATGGCCCGGCACTGCCCAGTGTGGCCGGTACACCTGGGGAAGGCCCAGGAGGTGGGGTGGGATGGGAGATGCTGTGTCTTTGAACTTGTAACCACACGTCTTATCATTATGATTTACATAGACTGGCTGTTTTATGGGATTGTGGGTGTGACCTTCAGGAATGATGCCAAGTATAAGAGAAGGGATGTGGCTCAAGCCCGTGCAGTTTCTGGGGCTTGTGGTTGCTTGTTGGCTCTCCTGTGGGCATGGTGTCCTGCGGTCTCTCCCCGCTCCACCTGCAGGAACCACGTCAGGGGTTCCTGCTGGGCAGGCCTCTGCGTGGGCTTCAGGGGAGTCCAGAGCCTGCGGTTCACCCCGAAGGCTGCTCTGTACATGTTTATACACCTCAAAAGCTTGTTATTTCAAGCGCACCATAAAACATCCACACGAGACCAATTCTTGGATTTTTTTCTACTTCACTACTTTTTAAAAGCATGCTTTAAAAGACACAGCATTTTCCTTCAATTAATTGAATAAATGTGAGGACTCCCAGCTCATTCTGTCTCCTCGGAGCAGCTTGGAGTGTTAACTGTTGCCTGTCTGTCGTGGAGACTGTGCTGACTCCAACTGAATTAAGGTGCATAGGTTCTTGCCTCCTGAGTTGTGAGCTTGGTTAACTAGAGGTCCGTTGTGATTGGTGTCTGTCGGTAACAGAATGGTAGAAAAATGGGGGAAAAATATATTGTCCTCCACAACCAACATGGATTGACTGTATGAGGAAGCTGGCTAACTGGGTAAGGTCGCCCCAAAAGACAGATGCCACTGAAATGAGGAGGTGGTGTTGGTGGAGGAATACAGACCTGGGTTTTCGAGTCCTGCCTCTACCAACTCACCACGTCTGCTCCCTCGGAAAGTTTGCTTGGCTTTCTCCCTGAGCTCCCGCATTTATAGAAGTTACACAGCATCTTGCTCGTGGGATTAGAGATAATGCCTGCAGAGGGGCTTACTGAGTACTTGGCACACAGGAGGTATTCGGTGAACGTTGCTGTCATTATTAAGATGAAATAGGCGATCTAACGGCCACCAGCAGACTCAGCCTTGCTGGCTCATGGAGGAACTGGGAGGGGGCCACCTTCACGGTCATAACTGAATTTCTTTTTCTAGTTGACATTGGCCTCATGGGCAGAAATTCATACATTACTGGGTTTGCTGACTAGATTCTGAGGCTAGTGTGTATGTTGTAATATTTCTCCTGTCTGGAATATAGCAAAGAACCAGGAGGACAATGAAAATGCCGCTCAAGGAAAGAGCCAGCGAAACAGATTGCCCAAAGTCTTGTGGATACAAAGCTCGTCCACTGCCCCAGGAGGACAGGACCCCAAGGCCTCACTCCACTCCCGGTTTTCTCCAGTACTCAGCAGATGGTGCACCACATGCGGGGAGCACGCCGCACGTGCAGGAGTCACGCCTCATGCCCTCTTGGTCATCCCCCCAGGCCCCGCCATGGCCACCCAAGGCCTGTTAACTTTAGTATCTTGAATAGCTCCCTTATGTGTTTCCTTCTCTCAATTTCCTTCCTAGCGCTTATAGTCCAGCCACTAGGCTATTTTGTCTGGATGTTGTAATAACCTGCTGATAAGTCTGCCCCCTTTCACGTTTCCTGCCCTTTAACCCATTCTCCACGTGGTAGGCAGAGTGGTTGCTGGAAGTGCTGATCCAGTCAAGTTACCCTTTCTACACACAAGTACATTTGCATCAGTGGCTCCTGATCGCTGAGGTTAAGAATCTAAACCCTTAATGTGGCCTGCGGGGCTGGTGCCCTCTGCCCTGCCCATCTCTCTGGCCCCATCCCTTATTCACACATCACTCTTCTCCCCTCCTGCCCTCCAGTCACCTGGGCTTTTTTTCCTGTTCACAGCTGCCTCAGGGCCTTTGCACATGCCTGTGCTCTTCATTCAGATCTCAGGTCAGCCGTCACTTCCGTAGGAGAGTCCTCCCTCCACTCCCTGGCCAGGTCATGCCTCCCATATGCTTTGCTAGCACTGCATCTCTCCCTACTGGAACATGTTACAGTTGTTAGTGTACATGTGATTGTGTGATGGTTTGTTAAATGTGTGATCCCTCCATTAGACTTTAAACCTCTAGAAGGTTAGATACTATGCCATCCGCTCAATTTCAATTTATGTAAATTCCATTATGTGTAAATATCTGGACTAGGTGTTACAAGGGTTATTCAGATGAGTAGAATACTGTTTTAGTTCTTAAGGGGTTGTATTAATCTGTTACTGCATTCTGCATTGTCCTAAACGTAGCATCTTAAGACAACAGACATTTACAATCTCACAGTTTCCGTGGGTCAGGAGTCCAGTCCTGGTTTAGCTGAGGCTTCTGTTCAGGGTGTCTCACAAGCCTGCAGCGAGGGTATTGGCTGGGGCTGCAGCCTCAACTGCAGGCTCAGCAGAGGGGGATCCACCTGCAAGCTCACCCAGTGGCTGCTGGCGGGGCTCAGGTCCTCACTGGCCAGAGGCATCAGCGCCTTGCTCCATGGCTCCTCCCCATGGGCTTCGGAGCAGCCTTTCCATAGAGCTGCTCTTGGCCTGCCTGCTTGCTTCCTCCAGACTGAGAGCTCCAAGAAAGGGAGATGGCAAAAGGAGATAGCCAGGCCAAACTAAGTCTTTTTGTATCCTAATCTCCTCTTGAAAGGGACATCCCATCGCTTTGCCATGTTCTCGTGGTTAGAAATGAGTCACTAGGCCCAGTCTACACTCAGGCTGGGGCTCACACAAGGGCACGAATACCAGAGAAGAGATCATCACAGGCCATCCTAGAAGCTGCCTGCCACGGGGACTGAAATTAGGTAGGAGGAAGACAAGGCACGTTGCGCATGTCCACAGGGGAGTCTGTCCACAGTGTCAGAGCAGGGATTTTAAATGCATGGGGTGTCAGGAGCAGGAGTGGTTTGAGTTTACTTGGGGACATTTGGGAGGACTTCCTGAAGGCGGTTGCAGCTGAGAGGGGCCCTGGGTGACTGAGTTCATCAAGTAAAGATGAAGTAGAGAGAGAGAGACCCTGGTTTCCTCCCGTTCCACACCCACTTCTAGTGCATGTCGTTCTCCGTTCCAACAGATCAGAGGCTAGAAGTATGGGGAGGGGGGCGGTGCTTTCTCCTTAGACACTAACAGCAGGAGCAAGCAGCAGCTTGTGTGCATGTAACAAGGGGAATAATTCTCCCAAATTATTCAGGACTTGGATGCGCAGGGTGGTCTGGGAGCATTTGTTCTGGAGGCAAACAGACCCCTGGAGCCCCTGAGGAGACTGGTTTGTCACGGGCTGGCAGGTGACCTTTGAGAGGTAGTGACATGTGTGCAGTGTATTCTGTTTAAGAAGGTAAAGCAGTGTAGTAGTTTGTCATTTTACTGTAAAGAAACCAGTTACATCATAAAATTTGGGGTCCTCTGAGAAGGTTGGACTCTCGGCCGTCAGTGCAAATTGGATTATCAAAATGAGACAGGCTAAGGCACAGTATACGCCCTAGATAGAATTTACGTTTAAATTAAAAATGTCGTCTGAACGTGTGTTGCATCAACAAAACACAGATTTGCCGGTGGCTGTTTTGTTGGGTTTTGTTTTACTAACTGACAAGTAAGCGCGACCTCAGAGTGGGTGGCCACGCTCTGAGTGGTGCAGGGTCCCTGCGAACTGCTGGCTTTCTTTTGTTTGCCTCTCAGGGAAACAGAGCCCTCGCAGGGGTGAGACTGTTTCTGGGGGCAGGCAGATGAAAGGACCCACGAGACAGCGGCCTGTTCGCTTTTTTCATGCTCTAAATGAGTCTCTGTGGCTTATGCCCAGTTAGAGTGGGAAGGGCTTGCCCCGTCCTCAGAGAGCACAAGCCGGGAGAGTCTCCATTCGGATGGACGCCCCACCCTGTTTTGTCCACTGAAATTCGTCCATTTGTTCCAGCGGACCTACAGTATGGAGCAGTGAAAAAAGAAGGGATGTAGGGGTTAGATTTGCATGGTGGTTCTGCCTGTTACTGGGGACCTTGGGCGACTTACTTCGCTTGCCTGAATTTTTGTTGCTTTACCTACAAATTACAGTACCATTCTCTACCTTCCAGGATTCTTGTTTGGAATAAAATACTGTGTGTAAATTTACCCTGGCACCTCTCAATGCTTAGTAAGTGGGAGTTGTTTTAAAAACAATACTTTGATAACATTTTGACACTGTAGCCTATGATTACACCTATTGAAGAACAATACCGATTCTTTAAAAGCCTATTCACTTATTGTCCCTGTCCCCCAAAGCTCTCTCAGCTTCACCCAGACAAGCGCATGCCTTGGTTTCTCTTACCATCCGCTTTCTGAGCTTACCTTTGCTTTTCCCTGAACTTCTGTTGGACTGGGTGATTGAGCCCTCATTCATTGTAATTCATGATGTGCTGTTAAGAAGTTACCCTGAAGTTATGTTCACGTGGCAAAGCCTAGATGTAATTGTTACCTGTCCCCTCTCCCAGACACATAACCGAGGCATGCTCTAGCTCTGGTCACCCCGTATGTCATCTGACAGAGTACTGTCACCTTGGACCGTACATCCACCTTGTGCACCTCCCACCCTCCATTAGTCAGTATCACTATGGTGATATTTATAGTCAGTTTTTATATTGATTTATCAACACATTCACCACTTTTTCTGCTGGCTGTGATTCCTTGGCTGTCAGGGTTTTGCTTATTTTTTTCTGAATATGGTTTTCTTCTTGAAGTCCATCCTTTTTCAGTTCTTTCAGCGAGAGTCTAAGAGTGGTAAACATTCTTTTATTGAAAATGCCCAATATTTATCCTTGTTTTTGTAAAAGGCAAAAGATGTATGCAATCTGAAGAGAAACCAGAGTATTTATCCTTGTTTTTGAATGATAGTTTAGCTAGATACAGAATTTACGTTTAACAGTTATTTTCCTGGCACCTTGAACATTTTGTGGGTCTGATGCCAGAGCCCCCTCCCACCTGCAAGCTGTGGGAGGGTCTTTGTTGCATTAAGCATGAGCGAGAGCATAGAATTACATTGGCCTTCTAGAGATAGCTAACGTAATTCACCTGGGCTGCGCGCAGACAGGACTTTCCCCCTCACCTTGACACTGGCAAAACAGGCAAATGTGGAAAGATTTGCACGGTTACCAGGGATTAAAAGACTTGCAAGTTTGCAGCCAGTGACCCCTCTGCCACCCTCCGTTGCTGTCTGCTTCAGGGAGGATGGAGGGGAACACTTGTTTCGGTGTTTCTTTGCTAGGTCTGGACATGGCTCGCATTCAGGGGAGGCTCCTGCACAGGAGAGCAGGTTTACTCACGTGTGCACCCGGCCTCCTGATAGACATGTAACCATCTCTGCAAACCCATCTCTGCCTGCAGATCATGAAGGAGGTCCGGCGAGCTCTCTGCAATGCGGCCACGGACGACAGCAAGCTGCTGCTCCTCAGTGCGGTGGGCAGTGTGTTCTGCAGCGGCCTGGATTATTCCTATCTAATCGGCCGGTTGTCCAGCGACCGGCGGAAGGAAAGCACCCGCATTGCAGAATCCATCAGGTGAGCTCTGCTTGTGTCTGGACATCAGGGGACCTGGCTAGGATGGCCAAATTGGGCACAAAAAAAAATACATGGTGCTCAGTGAAACTCTTTAAACAACTAATAATTTTCTTTTAGCATGATTATGTGCTGTGCAACATTTGGGATATGCTTATACTTAACAGTGCTTATCTTAACAATAAGATATTATTGGTTGCTTGTCCGAAACTTGGAGTTTAATTGGGCATCCTGTATTTTCCTGCCCAAATTAGGGATGCCTTCGCTCTTTCGGTAGGATCTCATTTAATTCTTTTGATCCCCAAAGGATTTTATTCCCTTATATTAAGCCCAGCGTCTGGTAATGCCCATGTGTCATCCAGTCTCCTCCTGCCCTCTGTCTGAGTGAAATCTCTGATTTTCTGGGCATTTCTGTTTCTGGAGCTCAGCACTGGGAAGGTGGATGGAGGGGCTCCCTGGGTAGCTGTGCGCGTGTGGATCGGACAGGATGGGAGTGTTTGCCTCTCTCTTGTTGGCTTTGGGGCAAAAGTTGGGATCCTGGGGTGACATCTGATCCCAACAATCAGTATCTTTTTGGGGACACTAAAGGGTAGTTATTTCCCCATTCTTTACAGATTTATCGAAAGCCAGTGAGCTTACATGATTCCCAGCAAGGCTGGTACTATCCGCCACCCTGGGGAGCTCATGCACGCTCACTGTTGCGCATACAGAGTGCTCAGACCGGAGTCACAGTTCAGTAAAGCAGCCGGTCTCCTGAGAAGGAGCGCTTTTCCCCGGGGCGTCAGGGAGCCTCAGGCCACAGGTTAGATAGAGGTCTTCCAGGCGCTCCCACCTCACTGCACTGTGGCACGGTTGCACAGAGGCCGATTCCCACGTGTCTGCGGGAGGCTTCCAGGGGGTGCAGAGTCTCCAAGAGATGACATGGGGTCTCCAAGAAGTGACCTCACGTGCAGGGTTCTGAGTCCCAGTTCAGGGCGATGCACCCACTGGAGTCTGTGCTCCAAAACAGCTGTGTGCTTCTTGCCGCGGAACTCTTGCCAAAAGAGACGTGAAAAGCCCGAACACTGTTAGTGGAAAAAGCATCCCTACATTGGGCTTCATGCAGCTTTGGGCTCCCTGGGTGCAGACAGCCCTGGCCATGTCCACAGTGCTTTGTTCTCTGCCCCAACTCAGCTGCTTTGTCACGTGGTGGCGGGAGCAGCAGAGTCCCCATGAAGCTTCCTTCTTTGTTTACGGGACCATCAGAGCTGGGGGCCCATCTCTGCAGCTGAGGACCACTTTGGCCGTAGTCTTCGGCTGGTTTCTGAATTTCTGTGGAGGCACTGGCTGGATTTCCAGAGGCTCCAAATTTGAGGGGATGCTCAACACATTAGCTCACCTCTGGAGAAACGTGGCCTGTGGAATTCAGACATTTGCCATCTTGTCAGGAAGGTGAGTTTCTCTTAGCAGAGCGGAGGGAGAGATAGCCAGGGAAATTCTTCCAGATGCTTCAAAGGGAGCAGAAGCTCATAGTGCATGAGCTGCCTGGGACACACAGGAGGGAGGAGGAGCAGGGATGTCCCCCTGAACACTGGTTCTCAGCTCCAGAAGCACAGAGACTCCCCAGAAAGCTTTGCAAAACCCAGCTGCTCGGCACCACTCCCAGGAGATTCCGAATTAATGAGCATGGGTGGGGCCAGCACGTCTTTCGTTTTAAAGTTTCCTCCATTGTTCAGATATGCAGCCAGGATTGAGGTCCTTATTTTTATGCAAGAAAAGAAAGGTGGCTGTAAGAGAAGAGGGTGAAGAGGAAGGTGATGGAAGGGACAAGAGAGGGCGAGGAGCTTCAGGAGAGGATGGATGGGATGCAGACCGTAGGGCCTTGTAGAACAGTGTGCCCACGGGGCAGACAGTGACCGTGGCTTGTTCATCATCTTCAAACATAGGGAGGGCCCCGCTGCACCCACTCTGCAGTGTTCTCTCTAGCAGCCACAACTCCAGGGTTTGGGACCCAACGTGGCAGAAAAGCATTTCTCAGAGAACTTTCTGCAGCTTTCCAAGGAGGCATCATGAGCAAAGGGCACTGTCGATAACTGAGTTTGGGCCACGCCGGAAGTTCTGTTCCTGCTCGTGCAGATTTTTCCCGGCATATTAACGTATTTACCGTCTGAAGAGTTTCTTGGGAAAGGACTTTGTTAAATATCGAGCGTGGCTGAAACACAGTTTACCCATAGAACCTTGTAACCTACTGACATCCCTTGCGATTCTCTTGGGACATGCATGCTCTCGGCTGGGCTGACCTCCAGGAGGATCCAAGCACACCACACGGCCACTGGCCACCACTCCCACCCCACTCTCACCCTCATCATTTCCTAAATAAGGTGTGTGCATGCATGACCCGGTACACTGTGTTCACTCTGCAGATGTTTGTTAAATGAACTAGAAGATGTGGGAAGAGCTCAAATGATTCATTCAGCAGAAGTCTCTCTCCAGGACCCAAACAAAGCTGTCTGCCCCACCCTGAAAGAGGGGCTGCCCTCTCCTGAACTCCTCACAGGTGCTGCGAAGGTCCATTGGCAGGTTGCTGGGATGAAGAGCAATCAGACAACCCACGTGCAATACCTGGCCTGTTATTGGCACATACGTACTTAGAATAGATGTAAAGAATTATTTTCATGTTACTCTCAGCCACAAATTTTAGCTAAGCCTGGGTCAGACGAAGGTGTGGGCTCCTAGCGTACCCCTATGGGGGCCCCAGGGTGACCATCACTGCATGTATCTGATGCTTACAGCTGACTTGGTTCTGAACTTTGGCAGTGGGAGGGCTCTGGTTAAAAGGAATGCATAGCTGGGTCACAAAAGAAATTCTAGTCGCTCCCGGTGAAATCCAGACACCCCAGTGAGTAGAATCTTGCTTCTGAGTCTCCTTTAGGCCAGGAGAGTGGCTCACAGGCCACTCAAAGTGGAATGAAAGCTGCGTCTACCCTCCCAGCAGCACTCGTGGGCTCCCCTGTGTCAGGTGCTGTGCCGGTGCCCTGGGCGGATCATCTCACGTAATTCTCAGGTGGCCTGTGGGGGCCATGCCACCGACTTCCCCATTTTCCAAGTGGAAAAATGAGGCTGCAGAGACTGTAACACATCCAAGATCTCACCCCTAGTTAGGGGCAGAGTTGAGACTTGACCCCAAGTCTTTCAGATCCCAAAGTTCCTGGTCCTTCTGTGATCCCAAAGAACAGTCCAGCAGCTCCGGCAGGCAGAAGCCTTAGGACCCGGGCTGGGTGGAAGAAGCTTCAGGGGCTGGGGTCTGTGTGGCGGACTTGGCTGTGTGGGAGAGGGGAGCCATCGCCCCAGTGCAGCCCCAACACCAGACTCAGGATCAGATATCTGAGCAGCAGCATCTGTAATGCAATATCCTGTTTGCTATCTGGCTTCTGTATCCTCTGGGCCCTTGTGATAGAGATCTGTTTGAGGTGAGAGGACGAGGATGGGGAGACGTCTGTGCATCATCTTTTTATACCAAGGAAATGAACTGCTCGGACTGCCAGAGCTAGGGGAGGGGTGGAACCTTGCTCACTTAGTTCCCTTAGCCCTGCTCCGGGTTCCTTGTTGCCATTGTACAGAGCTCAGGTTGGAAACCACAGAGTGAAAGGCTCTGGGGTCTTGAAGGGGAAGCTTCCAGAAGGTCATGGGGGCTGAGGTAAATTCCCGAAGGAGAGTCCCATGGATGACAGAGCAGAGTGAACGTGCGTGTCAGAGAGGCCACAGGAGGTCACAACAGGATGGTGTCTGGGTACAGAGGGACCCTCTTTATTGAAAATGTCCAACAGAGGCCAGAGATTGCGTTCTTGGGATGCTGGTGGGGGGGGAGGAATTCTATACCAAGTGGAAAATTTGGTTCAGTGACTCTTGAAGTCCTTCTCACTCTGAGATCCAGCGTCCTTTCCTGTGCGAGGGTCTTTAGGAATGGAATGTCTGTCAAAAAGCGCCCAAACCCTGCGTGTGGTTCCAAGGAATCCTGCAAAGAAGCTCCATGTCCCTACAGACTCCGAACTGCATTTGGTAAAAGCGCTTGTTAAAACCAATGACGGAGGCTGTCACGGTAGGAAGCCGAGCCAGGAAATGGAACACCAGGATGCCTGGAACGCCGAGATGAGGGGGCCATGGTGCCGGCACTCCCGCTTTGCAGCAGTGTCCTTTTGGGGTCAGCTGCAGGGGGCCAGCAATCCGTCGTCTACTCACAGAGTCCTGTGGGCGTGAGGAAATGTGATGTCTCAAGCCTGGGTCAAGGGGTGTAATTTCATGAAGACATAGGGGTCACAAGTCACCTCAACCCCAGTGAATTAAGAAGTCTTCTCCCAATTGAATTCAATCCCACCATATCACCACGATACCCACATATTTTGGTAAGAATTGGGGGGAATGGTAACCATTGCTAAGGGATGTACCAGTTTGACATTTGTGTTAGTTAATTATTAGCTGCTGTAACAAATGAACCCCAAGTACATACCATGGCTGAATTGTGATAGAAATTTACTTCTAGCATACATGAACCTAAAACAGATGTTACTCATCAGCCCATGGCTGTCCTCCAAGTGGTGACTCAGAAACCCAGATTCCCTCTATCTTGTGGCTCAACAGATGTCTTCTGAGGTTGCCATGAAAGGGCCGGGAGGGCCGCATGGTGGGGAGTTGCCGTGCACCAGGCCTGGAAGTGTGCATGTGGTTTCCACTCATATTTCTTCGCCTGGCACTTGGTTACATGGCCACAGCCAGTTGCTGAGAAATGTGTTCTGGCTATAGACTCTGGAAGAAGAGAGAGGGAGGGATCAGGCCTGGTGATGAAATAGTATGTCACTGCCACACATCTGCAGTCTTTGCTCTTATTCTGGGAAAATCCTGTATCTATTCAACAGCTATTGACTGAGTGTTAATTGCAATATGTATGGAGACCAAGCAATGCACAAGGCAGACCTGTGGGTTTTCTTAAGGAACTGGAGGGGAGGAGAATTCAAAAACAAGTAAGCACAGAAGCGATTAGGATTACTGCAAATTGCGAGGGTGATTTCCAAGAACTCTCAAAAGGTCCGTGCAGCTCCTGCACAGAGAGCAGGGGTGTGTGAGACACGAGATAAGCCTGGAGAGGTGAGCAGAGGCTGGAGTTGGCATTTGATTCTCGTGAGTTCTCAGTAGGTTCCAGTCTGTCACCTGAGAATAATGAAGGGGGTGGGCTTTCCTAGACATCTTGGATCTTCCCCCATGTCCAGATTAGTATTAAAATTGTATAGGTCTTAAATAGCAAGTAGGGGGGAGGCAAAAAGCACAAAAGGTAAGGGAAGTAGAGGTTCTTTTGGGTGGCTCTGCATAATAGATAAGGATGCGGGCTATAGCCTTGCTCAGTGCAGAAGGTCGGGGAGATAAAATATTGCCTAATCCTGTAGCCATGATTCCAGATGCCTCCTGCCTCCAGGGGAGCCCAGCACCTTTCCCCAGTGTTGATCGGAGTCACCCGAACACATAGACCCTCATCAGCATTTTGGAACCACCCTTGAGGATCCATCATCCCTTCAGGTGAAGCCAAACCAGACAATCCTGGTTTGGAAAGAAATCTTAGGTGGCATCAGTCCCCACCAGTGCCCGCCATCGGAAGCTTGAATTCTCATCCAGAGTTAACACTGAGCTGAAATTATCCCCAACAATGAGGAATTTGCACCTCCCAAAGCCACCCACTCCGCCTTCGGCCAGTGCCGGTGGAGCATTCTCTCACTCCTTGGGTTCCTGTATCCCGCTTTGTAATACCCTTCTTTCGGTTCCAGTTCTGGCTCTGTTTCTGGGTCTCAGCATTCAGGTCATCTTCCTTGGGGTGTTTACCGTTTGTGAATATCCAGGGAGCGGAAGGACAGGGGGACTGGTGCCGTGTTGGCACAGTGGGCGTGACCCGGGGCCGGACATGTGATTACCTCAGTAAGTCCCTTCTGAAAATCTGGCACCAACCTCTGAGGGTGCCAGGCCTGTGCCGGCAACTCAGTGGCCCAGCATCTGGGAGAATGAGACCCTTGCCTGGCGCCCACTCTTCTCTGAGGACACGTAGGTGCCTCACAGCACCTGGGGAAGCTCTTTCAGCCTCGGTGCCGTCAAAGGCATCAGATGGTCTCCACAGGCCTGGACACCTGTTACAGAGGATCTTCTCTTTTCCCCAGGGACTTTGTGAAGGCCTTTATCCAGTTTAAGAAGCCCATCGTGGTGGCGATCAACGGGCCCGCCCTAGGCCTGGGTGCCTCCATCCTGCCCCTCTGCGACATCGTGTGGGCCAGTGAGAAGGCCTGGTTTCAGACCCCCTATGCCACCATCCGCCTCACGCCTGCTGGCTGCTCCTCCTACACCTTCCCCCAGATCCTGGGTGTCGCGCTGGTAAGCCTCCTCGTAAGCAGGCAGAGCGGTGTTCGAGCAAAGTCCTAGAATCCTTTGTAGGCTGTGGTCAGATTCTGCAACCACCAGTGGTCAGAAGCAAGTCTGGGCAGGGGTGAGTCCTAACAGCTCAGAAAGCACTCACTGGGGCCAGTGCTTGACAGCCATTAACTCAGTTCATCCTCACCACAGCCCCGTAAGGTAGTACTGCTGTTAGCCACTCTTGACAGATGTGGAGACTGAGAATAAGGTTAAGTGAGTTGTCTAGGGTCACACAGTGGTGATGGAAACTGTGGAGTGTGAACACAGATTTTATGCTCTGGGCCAATATGCTATCAAATAGAGCCCACCTCTGATGACTGAGTCTGAGATCAGCGCCACCAGGACCTGGGAGGGTGCCCTGAGTGTGGTTGGTGTAGTAGGTCTGTGAGGTGGCCTCCTGAAGTGGCTTCTTTGTGGTGCAGGCTTCACCAGGGTCTGCTCGGGCTGTTTGCCAGCTTCTCCCCGGGGCTGCTGGGAGATTTCTGCCTGTAGATACTGGTGGTCCTGGGGGACCCCAGAAAACTACCAACAAATCATGACACGGAAGCCAGGGCCAAGCCCCACAGGGAGCAGGTTGGAGGAGGCTCCCTGCAGCGGCACTGGGTGAAAGGATGGGAGCCCCGTCCCACCACTTCTGTGCGCTGCCTGTCCGATGGCGGCGCAGGACAGGAATAGCAACTAAGACCAGCGGAAGTTATCCTCCACTCTCACACCCTCCGGCACCACCTCCCCAGCACCACCTTCGTGCAGCAGGGCCTGGGGGGGCATGGGGTGGGGGACAGATAAGGCCATTCAGATTCAGCAACTCACTCAGGGGTGCTTTCCGCTGCTCGGTCTCACTGGTGGCAGAAAAATGAGGCAGGCAGGGAGCCCAGGAAGCAAACACTTTCCCTTTTGATCTCAGCCACTGTGCTCTACCCAAGCTTGGTGCCACTCCAGGTCCTCCCCATGCTCTGTGGTCACAAAAATGTTAACATCGTACAGTCTTATCTCTTTCTGTCTTTCATTTCAATCATTTCTGAAACTCCAAGAATGTGCTGATTGAGACAAGTTCTTGCAGACTGTGTCCTGTTTGGCTCCTTCTACTGAGTACCTTCCTTTCATTTCTCCTGAGACAGAGCTGTTTCTGAATAAGTAAAACGACATATACGTTTGTCTTCTGATCTCTCACCAAATGTATGCTGTGGGCTATGACTGATCTGATCAGTTTTCCTCCTCCAACACGAAAGATTGTCCTTTGGGTCATCATGACCCGTCAGTGACAACCAGGACAAAGGGGGAAGCTGCACATAGATGCAGATGCTCGGAGAGCTGGGCATTTCAGCGTCGGTCTGAGAGGAGAGCATCGGCCGAGGGCAGGAAACGGGCAGGTTAGGGAAGGGGTTGTCTGCCCTGTGAAGGAGGCAGGCACTCCTCCTGGGAGAGATAAGGACCCTGTCACATGGCCGTGACCATTATGCCCTAATTATCAGTGTAAGAGTCACCTGTTGGTAAGTTTCAGCGGTGATAGCACTGTGTTCTGTCTGGGCCTAGGACCTTATCCACGTAGGTCCTCCCAGAACATGTGTGACGGCTATGAACTTCAAAGCAAAAGGAAATTCTTTGGGGAGTGGGACACAGAGGAGCCCTCAGGAGGTGGGGGGCATTTTCCACCTTTCCAGACAGGACAGTGCCCGTGCACAGCCCTGGGCCACTGGGCGAGATGCTCCTCTCTCTGTTGCTCTTACAGTGTTATGCAAGACCTTTCTGGCTGCCAGTGATGGAAACACTTTGACTCAAGGGTCGGGGGAGAATAATGATTTCCTTAACTGACAAGTGCAGAAGTGGAATGTCCCTTGAGGGTGATGAGTCCAGGAATTCAAGAACTGTCAGTACTCTTGTTCTTCATTCCTTCCTTCTATGTGGACCTGCATGTCCCCAGAGTGGGGACACAGCAGTGGGTGGCCCTGAGCTTCCTGACTTTAGCCTGCAACCAGGGAGGGAGAAAGATTCTTCCCCATCATCTCCAGTTTGGAAACCTCAGAGAGAGCTTTCTTATCTAGGGAATGTCACCTGTCCAACCCTGGGCCAGTTGTCATGCATCGTGGGAACACAGCTGGAGTATGCGTCCACTCCTGTGGGTTTGCTACCAAACGAGGTGGTGGCAGGGAAGGGCAGGGTATTGGGCAGATGAAGCCACAGTAGGTACATGGCTTCTTTTGGAAATGTGCTTAAAGCTTTGGGCCCTCTGCTCAGAAAGACACACATGGACACAGATCTTTGCTTGTAGCCCCCAAAGTTTATTGGACCCCAGTTACACTTAAATGTACCAAGCCCAAGCGTTGCTGACATGACAGGCGCTCAGGCCTCTCAGCCTTCCCCTGCCTTCGCTTTTTCAGGCCAACGAGATGCTCTTCTGTGGGCGGAAGCTCACTGCCCAGGAGGCGTGCAGCAGAGGGCTGGTGTCCCAGGTCTTCTGGCCAACCACGTTCAGCCAGGAGGTCATGTTGCGGGTCAAGGAGATGGCATCCTGCAGTGCGTTGGTGAGTTCCTGTGTCTTTTTGTGCTTGTCATTGCAATAGACCCATTTTGTAGGTGAGGGCAACGAGGCTAACAGGGACTAACTGACACCAAGGGCCATGCAGGGAGTACATGAGAGGCCCTGTGTGATTTAACAGGTGCCTCATCTCCACGTTGAGAGCTTAAATCCAGTGGGAGATGGCCAGCATTGTTAGGTATTCTCCATCATCTTCAGCTGAAAAGCCTCACACGAGAGATTTATACTCTGGGGAAGAATGCACTGCCTTAAAAGAAAGTACTTAACACACCCAAAACACACAACAGCTATAGTTTTCAAAGAAACAAGAGGCAAAGGCAAATAAGGGCGAAGTGTATTAAACCAGCCAGGAGACAAGAGGAAGCAGCCCACACTGTCCTTGTATGTCTCCTGCTCACTGAACACTTGGCACATTGAAACATCGCCATTTGACTCTGAAGACACACTGAAAAACAGATAAATAAATGACACCACCTCAGAAGCACCGACTTTTAATTAAGTGTTGATTTTATCTCATAAAAGTCACTCCGTGCACACTATGGAAATATCCTGTTGAGTGGTGGAGAGGAGGCTGTTCCCGCAACCCCAGGGCCGGCTGAGGAAATGAGAAAAGCACTTTGGTAGAATAAGGCCGGGGGACTCTTTCTGTGCTGAGGTTAAGGAGCCAGGCCTGTGCCCTCCCTTCCTTCTCCCTGTCCATCCTGAAGCCCCACCCGCTGTTGTGCCTCTCCTGATTCGACTCGTCAGCCTTTATTGAGCACTTACTGTATGTAAATGCTACTCCCTGGAAGCCTACCTGTACCATTGATGATGACAGGTGGGGATAGTCCTGCAACGTTGATAAACAGTTATTATGGAGTCTGTGTGGATTCCCTTTTAATCTTCCCAATGATTCCAGTGACCGACTCATCCCCATTTGCCTGGAACTCTCCTGGTTTTAGCACCAAAAAATCCTATGTTCCTGGGAAACCTCCTTGTTCTAGGCAGATGGGGATAGTGGATGACCCTAGAGGCAGCCTCACAGGCAGGCAGAAATTTTTAAAAATATTTTCTTATTAAAATATGTTTGACATACAATATTATAGTAGTTTCAGGTGTACAAGGTAGCGATTCTACATTTCTATACCATATGATGTAAGATTGATTCTACATTTGATTCTGCATTTCTATACCATATCATCACAGTAAGTCTGTCCACATACAAAGTTACTGCAATGTTATTGATTATTCCCTGCACTATACAGGACACCCCCTGACTTACTTATTTTGTAACTGGAGGTTTGTACCTCTTATCCCCCTTCGCTTTTCTCACCCACTTGCCTAGCCCTCCCCTCTGGCAGCCATCAGTCTGTTCTTTGTGTCTATGAGTCCATTGCTGTTTTGTTTTGTTTGTCCTTTGGGTTTTATACTGTTTTTATTTTTCAGTTAAAGTTGGCATTCAGTATTATTTTTATATTAGTTTTAGGTGTACAGCATAGTGATTAGACATTTATACAATCTTTGAAGTGATTCCTCTGATAATTTGAGTACCCACCTGGCACAACACACAGTTATTGCAGCATTATTGACTGTATTTTCTATGCTGTACTTTACATCTCTGTGCCGAGTTTGTGATGACCAATTTGTACTTCTTAACCCCCTCACACTTTCAACCCAGCCCTCAACCCCTCCCATCTGCCAGCTATCAGTTTGTTCTCTGTATCTGTGAGTCAGTTTCTGTGGTGTTTGTTCATCTTATTTTTTAGATTCCACTTAGCACAGATACCCCTCTGTGTCCACATATGTTCTTGCAAATGGTAAGACTTTATTCTTTTTATTGCTGAGTAATATTCCATATGTGTGTGTGTGTGTATGTCATCTTTGTTATCCATTCACTGATGAAAACCTAGGTTGCTTTCATATCTTGGCTGTTTTAAATAATGCTGCAGTGAACATAGGGTTGCATATATCTTTTCGGATTAGTGTTTCCTTTTCTTTGAATAGATGCCCAAGTATGGAATTGCTGGGTTGTATGGTAGTTCTGTATTTAATTTTTTGGAGGAATCTCCATACTGTTTTCCATAGGGGCTACACTAATATATGATCCAACCAACAATGCATGACGGTTCCCATTTTACCACATCCTTACCAACACTTAATTGTTGATTTTTTGACAAAAGCCATTCTGATTGGTATGAAGTGATATCTTATGGTTTTGATTCACGGTTCTCTGATAATTAGTGATGTTGAGCATCTTTTCACATGTCTTTTGGCCCTCTGTAGGTCCTCTTTAGAGAAAGGTGTTTTTGGGTCCTCTGCCCCTTTTTAATTGGATTGTTTGTTTTGTGCAGGGGGATGTTAAGCTGTTTGAGTTCCTTATATATTTTGAATATTAATCCCTTATCAGATGTATCATTTGCAATTATCTTCTCCTATTCAGTAGGTTGTCTTTCTATTTTTTTTTTTTTTTACTGTGCAAAAGCTTTTTAGTTTGATGTAGTTTCATTTGTTTGTTGTTGCTTTTGTTGTCTTTGCTCAGGGAAACATATCCCCCCTAAAAAAATCTAAGACTGATGTCAAAGAGTTTACTACCTATGTTTTCTTCTAGGAGTTTTATGGTATTGAGTTTATTTTTGTATATGGTGGAAGAAAGTGGTTCATTCATACTCATCTTTTGCACGTATTGATCTAGTTTTCCCAAAACCATTTACTGAAGAGACTCTCATTTCCCCATTATATAGTTGCCTCCCTTGCTGTGGAGTAATTAACCATCTAATTGTGTGCCTATTTCTGACTCTCTATTCTGTTCCATTGATGTGTTTTTCTGACACTGCTGTACTGTTTTGACTACTATAGCTTTGTAGCATAGTTTGACATCAGGGAGCACGATACTTCCCACTTTGTTCTTTTGTGGGTAATGTTTCGGATTATTGTTCTAGTTCTGTGAAAAATGTCATTAGTATTTTTATAAGGACTGTATTAAATCTGAGGATTGCTTTGGGTATTATGGGCCTTTTAACAATATTAATCCTTCCAATTTATGAGCATGGTGTATCCTTCCATTTATTTGTGCCTTCTTCAGTTTCTTTCATCATCGTCTTATAGTTATCAGAATAAAGGTGTTTAATCTCCTTGGTTAAATTTATTCTTACGTATTTTATTTTGGATGCAATTATAAATGGGATTGTTTGCTAATGTATAGAAACACAACCTATTTCTGAATATTAATTTTGTATTCTGCAAGTTCACTGAATTCACTGATTAATTCCAACAGTTTTTGGTGAGGTCTTCGGGGTTTTCTATATACATCAGGCCATCTGCAAATGATGGTATGAGTTAGCGCACGAGCCCGAAGACCCATAGGGAGGTTAGGCGGCAAGGTGGTGGTGTGAGCAGGAGCACAGGGACGAAGTGGAAAGGAGGGTAGGGGGCAGGCCTCAGCACTCCACTGAGAGGAGTTTGGTGTTTGGGCAATGGAGATTTTTAGGTGAAACCAGCTGTTAAAATAATACAGTGAGAAAATCTCACCTGTCAACAGTTATGAATTCAGGAACTTTGGGTTGATTTGCCCAAGAAAGGAATTCTTGGGTGGAAAGAGGCAGTCTTGGTCTTCCAGCCCGTTCTCACCACCTGTTAACCTTCAGCTTAACCTGAAGAATAAGATCACTGCCTCTTTCTAGCCTCCTTGAGCAAGGGAGCTCATGTCTTGCTTTTTTCTGTTTGAACACGCACTGGGAGAGGGTAAACTGAAGCTCTGACATCAGCAGAGGGTGGTGGAGGCCAATGGAAGGGTGCTTGGTTGCCGCACTTCTGCACTGAGCCTCTGCCAGAGTGAGGCAGCAGCGCTGCCTGTTAGAATCAGCCAGACGTTCGCACGCAACATCCATCAGGCAGCTGTGGGCAGCTTTACCGAGTGTAGGTCCTTCCTTTGTAATGTGGAGGCTGCCTATTCGTGGAGCTGTCATCAGCAGGAAAAAGTACTTCTTGCAGACCTTATTGTTGAATGGTGATTGTAGTGGCATTGTTATTATTACTACGATCACTACAATTGTTATTATTCATTACTGTGATTATTGCTGTGGTTATCACTGCATTATTAATGTTGCTGCTGTAATTCCAGCTATACTACTATACTATTATTAGTATTGTTACCATTGTCACTACCATATTACTAACATTACTACTACTCCTGTAATAAGGTCACTATTAATGCTATAATCGCTGCTATAATGCTATAGTATTATTAGTATCATCACCATTATCACTACTATATCACTAACATTATCACTCCTTTAATAACATTACTACTACTATTACTTCTACAATACTGTAGTATTACTATTATTGTTACTCTCTTATTACTCATTGCTACAATCCTTGTAATTATTACTACTCATTATTACAATGACTGCTATGCTACTATTATCACTACCGCTCTTACTACTAAGCTTGAGTGAGAGGCATTGCCATTGGGATAGCTCCTATGGATGCTCGGACAACCATTAGTTCATTCATTATCTTACTCTGTGATCCCAGCCATCCTTGTCTTAGGTATCATTACTCTTACTTCACAGATAATGAAAATGAAGCACAGGGAGGTGAAAGTAGCCTTTCCTAAACTTTTTCATGACTCCCATAGAAAATGATACTGAGTTTATGTCACCCTTGGGTAAAAGCCAAAGCTCTTGCAGTTGGGGGTGACATGGGTCCCACTCAGCCATCCCAGGGACTGTGGGTTCATCCTCATGGCATGTCTGGAATCCATCCTGGATTGCTGGGGACATGGGTCTAGGAAGCCCCAGACTATAGTAGGCAGCCTCCTCTGGCTTTGGGCTTTGCAAGGTTAACCAGTGCGGCCTAGGCCAAGTACGTTCTTCTGGAGTGGAGTCCCTGGTGCCTAGCTAACCAGGCGTGTGCATTTCCCTTCAGGTATTGGAGGAGTCAAAATGCCTCGTTCGGAGCTTCCTGAAATCAGTGCTTGAAGATGTGAACGAGAAGGAATGCGTCATGCTGAAGCAACTCTGGAGTTCCTCCAAAGGCCTGGATTCCCTGTTCAGCTACCTGCAGGACAAAATTTACGAAGTCTGACGGGCCTCGGCTTACTTGCCCCAGTGGTCAAGGGCACCCGACCTCCAGCTTTGCCCTGGGTTTCAGAAATTGGAGCCCACTGTAAGCCTGGCCAAGGAGTTTGTCAAGGTGTCTCTATACCTAGGGTGTGTTCATTTCCTTGTCTTCTTTGGTTGTTGTTCATTGGTTTGATTTTGTGTAACAGATGGAAACTGCAGCACACTTGGCCTCCCCCTTGTCCCTACCCCAACTGGCTAGAGAGCTATTGAGGGCTATATCTTCCCAGGCCTCTTCCAGGTACCGTTCTGTTCCCACTTGCTGAAATGCTCCATCCCGGTCCAGGGGAGGGAAAGACCAGTTTCCCTGTTTTTCTGACTCAGACTGTGTCTACACAGTGCCTCTGATTTGGAGACTTGGCTCTCCTGGTCTCTGGTTAAGTGCAGATCTGGTAATGGGAGACAATCCATCTGGGGCAATTTCCAGGCTGATGAGTGAAGCGCTGCGGGTAGAGCCAGCCTGTCTCCTCTCTGATGCAAATCCGTGTGACTTTGAGGGCTCGGTCTTAACACCCAACTGAGTGATTTACAAACCCAGATATTGTACATCTAGGAATGTTTTGTTAAATATATATTTTTAAAACAATGTAAGCGGAAATTCTGATAATTTATGTGTATTATATGTAAAGCTAGTTTTGCAAAACATAAACTCCTAGGAAATTTTTTTCTTTAATCAGACTTATTTAATTTATTTATTTTTGTTTATATATTATGATATCTGTCATTCAAACAGATATTATTTTCATACTGCCCTGGACCAAAATCCCGTATGAGGTTTGTACTGTTTGGTACATTCTAGCAATGAACCATGTAGACATAAAGTTCAGAGAGATAAAAATGGAAGAGTTTCCATGGATAAAAGGAATAGCTTGTACCAGATCCTCAGCTTGCGAAATGGTTCTCAAATTGAGTATTGTTCTGAGGAGAACCGCAGAGGAACTTTCTCTTCACTCTGCTGCCTTTAAGGAGGTAAAGGGGCCTCCAGCGTGATGGGGCTGAGACATCCAGTCCCTGATTGCGTGACACCAGGAAGAGGTGGGGAATAGGCCTCACCCAAGGGGTTGCACAGTGTCCAGAGTAAGACTTTCTTCTTTGGGGGTGAATGACTGAACTTTGATCTCAGAGTTCACTCCATCCATGTGGGCAGCCATGTCTGGTGTGGATTTCCAGGGATGTGGAAGGCATTTCCAGTCTGGTGGTCTGTCATTAGAAGGACTGAATCTTTCCATGTCCTGAAGCTCAGGTGACCTATCTTTTTGTTAGGTGTTTGCTCACAACGGGAAGCAATAACCAGGGATGAGGTCTCCTGCTCTCGGACCCCTGGGCTGCACAGGGACCCCAGCACCTAAATGTAGACCATCAACTCAAAAGTCTGTGGATTGGCTGTGGGGCAGGAGGGGTTGTGGTTTTGGTTGGTGAGGAGAAAGGTCAACATCAAGGTTAGAGCACCCAGAGAAAGATTCTTAGAGCAGGAGGGTTGTTCTATCACCATCACAACCCCTGAGTGTCCTCAGAGGCCCCTTTGCTCACCCGTCTTCCCTTGCCCTGAGTTAGTCACCAGTGACTCTTGACCTTGGAGAGAGTTGGGTGGAGCAGTGAGAGTTGGGCACAGCTGGGGGAGGGGCGGTGGACCAAGAAGAGGAGGGTCATTGCTCCGATTGGTCATGTACTTCTCTCTCTGGTCCTCTTTTCTCTTTTAAAGGTGACCAGATGCAATGGGCCAGGCAGATAAAAAGGATTCATGGTTCTGAGCTTTGTGTTTCAGAGGACACGTTGAGTGTCTGTACTACGGCTAGAGACATGGTCCTTTAGACAGTGAATCTGAAGTTTACCTGGACTCTTAATCCTTAAGATGGTCTTGGTTCCCTCTGTAGAAAGCCTTTCTACTTTGGACTTTCCCCCATGACTTCATGGGGCTTCTTCTACCTTCTTCTATCTCAGCCATGTTGGTCGTGGGGCCCAGCAGGGGACAACCACCTTGGCTGAATTCAGCCAGACGAAGATTAAAGCCCTGTGTGTCCTCCCCTTTGTCCATGTGGGATCTGCAGGCACTGCAGACCTAGACAATGGGGAGTTACTCTGGGGAAACACCTGCTTTTGCCCAAATCCACTTCGATTTTGTCTCTTCCTGGGAGAAAGCAAGTGTACGCTTTCCCAAAGTCCCTAGACAAACCGCCTTCTTGTGTGTTGTGGCAGGTAATCTGTGCAGCATTGCTAAACCCTTCAAAGAAAGAGACCCTTGCTTTCTGTTTACCTTCTAGGGGCAGATACATTGACCATAGAAGCAGTGTCAGGATTCATGTTGGAGGTGGAAGAGAATGTTTGGAAATTCCTTTCAATCAATGTCCATCTTGTTCCCTGTTGAAAGCAGAAATATTTTAGCTTTGGACATATCACAAATCCAAACTTCTCGACATTTCAAGGATCTCTGATGATAAGATAGGAATGTGAAACTTACCAAGGTGGAGTTCCTCTCGTTAACTCGTGGATTCTGCTTCTAACAGGAGGTGTTTCAAAAGCTGGTCTGTGTTTGGACTGTTTCCACATAGTCAGTTAGGGAAGGACACCCCACAAATTGGGCAGAAGTTGGCTGTTACCTACAGGGTAGACTGAACCTCTGAGTTTTTCACTTTCTGAGCAGTTGTTCTGATAATGTGCAGATGAAATCCAAATGACTTATAGCAAATAGAGTTGGGATGGAAAATGCCAGACCTGTGGGGTGTCAGAATTTGTCCTCATAGCCCTATATTCTTGATTTAGGGCTCAGGCTTTCACTTGTTCTCTTCTGTCCCAGCACCCTCTCTTTCTTTACCCATAGGACCCTTTCTTCACTCTGTCCCCTGCTCTGTCCCCACCCAACCCTACCCCACCCCACCCTGGGTCTGTCACTTCCTGGGCAGGTCTTTGAGGAATTGTGCCTGGTTTTAGCAGCCCCATCCTAGAATTACCTGTGCAGTTGGAAAAGAGCCGTGGGTGGGAAGTTAAGGCTACCTCCTTAGTCAGGGAACCTTACTAAGCCACAGGTGGTACACACAAGGCCCACGGGCCAAATCCGGCCCTCCATCTTGTTTCTACCTGGCGACAGCTGAGCTCTCGCTTAACTCTTAAGGAGTATTTACATTCATACAGTCCTCAAATTACATTCGGCCCTTTGAAGGCAACTTCGAGGCTGATGTGGCCCCCGGTGAGAATGAGTTTGACACCCCTTTTCTAGGCGGTCCACTCCTTGCCATCTTGTTAGCCACGCATTTGACCTCTCCTCCCCTCCCTGCTCGGATCCCTGGTGATTAGCACCAGCATCTCGTAGTGGACCCACTTGTGTTAACAGCCCCATTCCAAGAGGGCTTTTTGTAGAACGTGTTAAGATGGTCAGAGCTCTTCACCATTTGGAAGCCACAGGCTACTGCTGATGATGTGCCCACGTGTCTCTTCTGGCTTTGGAGTAATGTCTGTGGGTAAATACCATCAAAAATTACCCTCTAAGGATGAAATTGGATAGCTATGAGAAGGTAGTAGAGAATTGATTTAAAATGTTATTCTTGTTTGGTTTAGATTAAACTAGGAAATGTTCTCTCTGAAGCATGAAAATATGTTTGTTTTTCATATAAAGTTTAATATGAGGATGGCAAAATAATAGTCACAATAGACTTTGATCAATGCAACTGTATCTTTGAACACCCACATTTAAAAAATTAGCCTTGACTGAATGCCAAACTGCATTTCCCATTATTAACTGTTGGTTTAAAAAAATTTGTAAACTTTTTAAAATTTGAAATTTAGTTACATTAATGCAATTTTACAGTCTAGTTCCTGTGGAAACCTTTTTTTGAAACAAAGATAAACGAATAGAAACATCTTCAGATTTTCCTAAGTGAATATTTAAAATGCAGAATTGCTTTTCTTCTGTGTTTCTGTCTTCAGATACTTAGGTCTCTTGTATATATTAGTTTAGACACTCTCACTAATATACACAGTATTTAAGACTCTGAATGAGATTTCTTAAGTATTTTATTTTATTCTCTGTAAATGGTTTTGTATAATCTTTAAAAAATCTACACTTTGCCTTTGTAGATATTTAAGGGAAACCATTTGGGGGTTGTCTTGCATGTATATTTTTGTTGTAGATATGTGTTGCTTAGTTATTTCTGCAAATTTTGGTTGAAATGCTTACAGACTTTAATACAGTATATATTTTCAGAATATAAACTTTTATATTTCTGTGATAAGTTAGAATATGCGTTTTAGGCAATCTTTTCCATTAATATCACTCCCCCCCCACAAATAGCTTACTGGTTTGGTGCCAATGTGTTTCTTTCTTTTTTTTCCCCCCATTAGACTCTAATGCTCTTATATTGTTAGAGAGCAGGTTAATTTTTTTTCTTAAAGTATAATTTGAAAATGTGTTGCATTTGTGGATAAGCCTTACCATTAGGATCAGTAAATTTTCCAACCTTTGCAACTACATATGTAGTTTAAGATCTCCCCATAAATTCTCACTGTGTGGCAGTTGATGGAGTTTGTGAACAGAGCCTTAAGCTTGTTGCAAAAAAAAAAGGGTAATACGGGTTGTTTCTTCCAAGCAGTGCAAGCCATGTTGGTGGACCCAATGCAGTCTCTAGGTCATGGCTATTTAAAGAGCTTGGTTGAATTGATGGCCACAGGGGCCACAGAGGCACCTTGGTGATTGCCTTTGGCCATACACATGGACCAAGAACAGGTTTTCTTGAACCACCTTTGTACTCTTCACATGGTTTAGTCATGGTCACAGTGGGGATTGTTGGTCCATCATTTGTTCTGAACAAATGGCATTTCCTGCTCCTGACCTTGGCGGTTGACCCCAGGTTTCTTAGAGGTGACTTGGAAACATCCAGCCTGGCTGAGATCAGCATTCCTTGAGAGATGTTAATAAAGTTTACATGTGAGTCTTACTTGTGTAGACAATCTGAAGTCGATTTTGGTTACATAATCAGCATTCCCATGTGTCCTGAGCATCTTATCAACAAACTATGTGTGTTAAGCCATACCGAACCCGCGTTCAGCAGGGCAGAGGCAGACTAGATGCAGAACTACACATCGGCTGAGCCCGTCCGCCCAGGGCTGTTCAGATGGAGCTCATTGGTGGTGTGTCCACTGTGTTTGGGAACTAATAAAACCAATGAAAATTTAGACTTAAATTTTCTTAAAATGATGATTCCTTTCAGTTGGTCACACTTCCCATAGTTATCAGCTGATTTTCCTTATCAAGGATTTACAGATGATTTTGAGACCAAGGCTATAGTATGGGTGAAGTATTTGGTTCATCCTGAATAGCATTTATAATCTACCATTGACATGGAAATAAGCTCCAAATGTTTGCAGTATGTAGCAGTCAGAACAACTGACATCTAGTTTTCAGCTTCATCTCTGGCATGGTCCATCATGCCTTGTGAGCGCAACACCTGGCCTGCTGCTGGAGCTCAGTAAGGCAACTCAGGCGAGTTTGGAGGGTGTAGTTTTCCATCTAGTATTTAATTTGTCCCTGCGCCATTAGTCCCAGCTTGAAGTCATTTGCTGATGCCCATGTTGACTGGATTGTGAAAATATTGCCTTTCATAGAACCAAGGACCAAAGAATTTCATTATTTCAACAAAGCATGAGTTTTATAGATTATAGGCACATCTAGAAAGAGGTGTGCATGTTTCATGGCACAAAGAAGCTGCTCACGTCCATCAACCTCGTGCTGCCCTGGCTGGCCATGCACAGGGATGTTTTGTCACCTCGAGAAGGCTCTGAAAGATGAGTTTCTCAGATGGAAACGATCTCAGGTGGGTGTGTTTGCTGTGCAGCCCCAGCCTTTATCCATTATCACAAAAAGTGGAGGTCTGGCATTCTTCTGGGTTCTCTGACCAGTGTAGACCGCTCCATCTGAATAACTGCCTCCAGTGCGAGTTTTTCAGATGCGTCTACACTGAGCAGCAGCCTTGCAGTTGCTGAATTTCCACCTCCTTGTGTTCTACATCGACCCATTCCAATTCCTGGTTGACGTGAGAAGGATTTTCTTCAGTTCTCACACCAGATGATGCTCCATTCTCATTCACCATGAAATCATCAATCCGTTGACTGGTTGAGACATGATTGATGCTGAAGAAGTGGTATTCTAGTGGTAAGGCTTATTACCAAACTGATAATGAAGCAGGCTACCAAAAACTTGTCCAGCCCACCCGAGGAGTGTTTGGGTTTGATCATGGATGTAGCGCACACACCAAAATCCAAGGAGACCTTTGCAAATTAGGCTACTCATTTTCTTTTGCCAGGTTGTCATGGGAGAGTCTTGAACTAGTTCAGAATATTTGTAAGTATGAGTACTTCATAGAATTATCAAGCAGGTGCAGCTGACCCTTTCTCACCACGTTGTAAATATTTCCCGAGACTGGGTGCAGTACTGGGGGATAATAATCTTCTGATTTATCAACTGCTGACTGTCTAGAGCAAATTGTACACTCTCTTTGTGAATGGTCCTGTAACGTGTATGAACACATTTCTGGGTGCCTTAGAAGTTGTATTTTCATGTGTGCTAATATGCAGTATTTATACATTGTGAAAAGCTGCTTTGAATAAAAAGGTTGAAACTTTATCTGCATTTGCCTGTGTCCCCCCACCCCCCTTTGCAACCTGTGCATGAAATTCACAAACAGGGTATGTGATTTCTGAACAGAGAAAGTTTCTGGGGCCTCCAGGGGGTTGAGACACCTGATGCTTCTAGGTCGTGTCTGGGTTCCTGGGGAGCATAGGCCTGCCCACCCACGTCTGGCTTGAGGCTTCAGTTGTTCAGGCAGATAGTCACTGGGTGGCAACAGCTTGATTCCAGAGGACCCTGAAATGCGGGGCACAGGATTATTTTTTTAGAAGATTGAAATGATCATTCACTCCTTCCCCGGTGTGCCTGGGAGGTTTCCTCATACAGGGCTCCCTCCCCACTAGGGATAAACCTTCATGGAGTTCGAGCTCATACAACCCCAGCTGCTGTGCATGGCTAACAGTGATCTTCGTTACTATGGAATTATGCAAAGTCCTCCCACCTGCATGACCTCGTTGCTTGGATCATCACAACATGCTGAGGGCCCCTGGCTTCCAGAGCCTGGCTTCTGAGACTCCGCAGGGGCTGCAGAAAGAGAAAGAAGGAGTGTTTCGGGGGTTCACGGCATCGGAGAGTCCTGGGAAAGGGGTTGCACAAGGTCATTGTCTGCCCTTCCGCTCAGTACATCAGCTGTACTGAGCAGTCTGCTCTGTTTTGGGCAGTGCACAGCTGCAGAAAGGCACAGATTACTCAGCCCCTATTGTGAATGAGCTTGAGATCTGGAATGTAAGAAAGGTAGGTAATCCTGCCATGATTCTCGAACTGCTCACAATGCGGTACTGGAGGGAACGCCTTACACAACCACAGACACACTCAATCTACAAGGTGGTGCACTTTTTAAATTCTTCATTTCCCATCAAATCACCTTTCGGCCGCTGTGGGCCCGCTGGAGTTGGCTGGAGCCCAGGGTCCTCTCTCCGCTGGCCTCCCTTTCCTTTTCCTTTCTGTGGTTCCTGGTGTCACCACCATTGTCATCGTTGTCGTTTCGTGTGCCTCTTTGCCCTTTCTCCAGGGTCCTGACTCCATCCTAAGTGGTCAAGGTCACACCTAGTAAGTTCTTTGCTCCTAAAGCCTTCTGGTCCTTCCAGTAGATTGGACGAGGCCTTTAGGGTGTTTCAGAGTGTGACATCGATAAGCCAAATCCCTGTTCCTGTGGCTGTCTCTCAAGACTGGGATGTGATATCATGCTAAAAGGATACCTCCCCCGATAGCACGAGGAAAGGGAAAAACAGTGAAGTGGGTTGGATTGCCCATCTGCTTAGATACGTCAACAGCGCAGTGATTCACAGGTACATTAAATAAACAAAAATGGAGTGTAATTCCAGAAGCAACTTCATTTTTTTTTTCCACTGTGTCTTTAAATCTGCTTAATGGAATAGTTCTCTCCTAACCTTAGATGAAAATGCGGGTAGGCTGCAGTACCTTTCTGGTAAATAATAGCTCCTTAAAGTCACAAACAGCTTCAATTCAACACTCATTCTTGTTGATCCTCACTGCCTATTCTGAGTGGATTGTGGGGAGCAGAGGAGATTTTACAGGGATCAAATGGTGCTGTGTTGTCAGGTGGGGCTTTCATTATCTGGGCCTTGTGGATGTTTCTCTCTCTCTCTCTCTGAACATGTATGGGTTTCTTAGCTACTTCCCTCAGTTGATGGGGGCCAGTCTCAGAATGGTCAAGTGAACTGTATCAGCCCATTACCTCTTCTTCAGCCCCTAGCAGTCTAGTGGCCCACTGCCAACTTCTCCAGTCAAGGTCCATTGACCCCTTTAGGGCAAGACAGTTGTCAAGCCAGTCTTTGTCACGCCTGGACCACGTGCGACTCATGGGAAACACACCCTCACCCAGATACAGGGTGCACACGGAGTTCTGAGCAGCAGCTACTGCCTCACCGGCAGAGTCGAGTCCGCCTCCGTGTCTTACCATTGGATTTCTCAGGCATGAGTCAGATACCAATTCACGTGTACCCTAAATTTTAGGGGGTACATACAAATCTCTTACCAAAGCCCTCTTCTCCTTTGACCTTGGATTAAAGGGGAGGCCTCCTCACTTACTTTCTAGGGGTGTGTGTGTATGTGAGATGTGGATAGCATAGTCCTCTCCAAAGAAATTCTCACCAATACTTCTTAGTAAATCTTAGGTACATAAATTAATCTAGGAATTCTTCAGGCTCTTGAAGGCAGTGAGCTTCCATAGTGGGGCACATTCTGCAGGGTCTGTGAGTCTTGATAGACTCATGACCTCACTCTGACTGAGATGGGAGGCCCTGGAGGGTGTGGAAAGGGGGAGCCCACTGACTTGTGCTTTAACGGATATGTCCTATGACAAAAGGGGAAAGCAGGGTGAGGGCAAGGAGACCACTTGGAGATTTTTGCAGTCGTCCATCTGCCCTCCACAAAGGTTTGAACCGGGGGTGGAAGGGTGAAGGTGAGGAGTGAGGTCCCGAGTGTACTTCGAAGGCACACCCAGAGGTGCGGGTGGATTGGTTGTGGAGTAGAGGGGAAGGAATCAAGGGTGACGATGGGATTTGGGGCCTGAGCAACTAGAAAGCTGGCACTGGCCCCAGCTGAGGCAGGGACAGCTCTGGGCTTTGGGGGAGCAGGTCTGAGTCGGGGGTGACAGGAGCTCAGATGAGACCTGGTATCGCAGGTATGGGTGTTGACCTTGCTCAGCCTTTGGTGATTGCAACTGTGCTCACCTCCTGAGGGATTTTTTAAATGACAGAGTGAGATTTACACACATGCACACGCACAACTATATTCTTGTATAACTATGCATATATGAGATTAAATAGGTAAATGACATTAATATACAAAATTATATGTATAATATTTAGTTTTTGGTATATAGCCTTTTAATGATTGAGATTTGCAGTGAGATTTTTATATGTAATTTTCAGAATAGTTACACATAGCCATTATTAATGATTAAATGAGATTTTATATTATGCATAATTTTATATATAAGACATAAATGCAGTTATGTATAAATATCATTACTACATAATTTTTGGAGCAGTTGTTGGCAGATAGTCACTGTCTAATTATTTAATGTGATTTGTATATGTATATCTGTATGTAAGGTTTTATATATGATACACAAATATATGAAAGATGAATAAAAGATTTTTGTCTATATATAAAATGTTTAGAATAGTTGTGGGCACATCATCACTCTGATACTAAAGGAGCTTTCCATTTTTGTATGAGGTGATATGTGTATTAGGTTTATTGAAAAGAGGAGATTAGACAGTTATCCCCCCACCCCACACACGCCCATATCTAGGATGGGGTTGGCCCAGTATTGCTGTAGCATCAATGGTAGCCACATTAGCACTTTACTGCTGGCAGACACCATGTGCAGAGGCTGGGCCACCCCCATCAAGGGACTCCCTGTGGGTGTGTTTTGGTGTGAGCACACGCAGACCTGTGTTCAGGAGAAAGTTGAGCAGGACATAGTGAAGCTCCTCTGGTCTTTCACATGAGAACCTGTCTGTGCTAGTGGCCAAATGGAGCGTTGTCCCCAGAGACGCTCCCTGGCTGGGACGCCCTGGTACACCCTCCTCCTCACTGGCCTCCGTGTCCTGTCTGCACATGGGGCTCACGCTGCCTCTCTCAGGGTTACTGGGAAGATTTAATGTGAGCGGGTGTGAGACCTGCTGCACTTCCCCTCAGGGGTTCCAGAAAGCAGCCCATCAGAAGCTCTTGGATTCTGAGGTTTCCAGGGCCATCTGCACTTCTCCATCCTCCAAAGCCCTTCCTGGAGATGCAGATGTGGTGGCACTGGACCAGAGATGAAGTGGGACCCTCCCTAAATGGGGGTAAGAATGAGAGTCTTTTGCACACTGATTCACATTGAGAAGACAGCATCCAGGAGCAGCTGACTCTGATGAGTGCACCAATCAGGTGCGGCTGGCCGAGAGCCAGCACTCAGCAACAGGACAGACGACAGGGACAGGAGCCACCTAGGGAGGTTCGAGGAGAAGGTGAGAGGGTTGCTCCGTAAACTTTTTTTTTTTAACTTTTTTTATTGATTATGCCATTACATTTGCTCTATTCCCCCCTCCATTCCCCTCCACCCTGCATACCCCTCCCCCACCATTTCCCCCTTTAGTTCATGAACACGTGTCTCAAATTCTTTAGATTCTGTATTTCCCCTACTATTCTTACCCTCCCCCTATCTATTTTCTATCTACCATCTATGCTACTTATTTTCTGTACCTTCTCCCCCCTTCCCCTCCTCCCACTCCCCTGTTGCTAACCCTCCATGAGATCTTCATTTCTATGGTTCTGCTCCTGATCTAGCTGTCCTCTTAGTTTGCTTTTGTTTTAGGTGTGGTTCTTAATAACTGTGAGTTTGCTGTCCTTTCATTGTTCATCTTTTTTATCTTCTTTTTCTTAGGTAAGTCCCTTTAACATTTCATATAATAAGGGCTTGGTGATGATGAACTCCTTGAATTTGATCTTATCTGAGAAGCACTTTATCTGTCCTTCCATTCTAAATGAAAGTTTTGCTGGGTAGAGCAATCTTGGTTGTAGATCTTTGGTTTTCATGACTTGGAATACCTCTTTCCAGCCCCTTCTTGCCTTAAGGTCTCTTTTGAGAAATCAGCTGACAGTCTGATGGGAACTCCTTTGTAGGTGACTGTCCCCTTAGCTCTTGCGGCCTCTAGGATTCTCTCCTTCATTTTAATCTTGGCTAATGTAATTATGATGTGCCTTGGTGTGTTCCTTCTTGGGTCCAACTTCTTTGGGACTCTCTGAGCTTCCTGGATTTCTTGGAAGTCTATTTCCTTTGCCATCTTGGGGAAATTCTCCTTTATTATTTGTTCTAGTTTTCCACTGGTGGCTGTGCCTTTCCCCCTTCTGGTACCCCTATAATTCGGATGTTGGAACGTTTAAAGATGTCCTGGAGGTTCCTAAGCTTCTCCTCATTTTTCTGAATTCTTATTTCTTCATTCCTTTCTGTTTGATCATTTTTTTCTTCCTTCTGGTCCACT